AGAGGGCGCCAGACCTCTTTACAGATGGTTGTGAGCCACCATGTGGTTGCTGGGAATTGAACTCAGGACCTTTGGAAGAGCAGGCAATGCTCTTAACCACTGAGCCATCTCTCCAGCCCCTGGAGAGGCATTGTTATACTGGATGGAACCTGCTTGGTGATTGAGGAAGCAGTGAGGAAGTGTTGAAATTGGAGGCGGGTACAGTATCTCAGACCAGGCTTCCCAGAGAGGAGTAGGTATCCAGACATCGTGGTATGGCTCTGGGAAGGGGGCAGAGCAGAGGGAAAGAGAACTGTGGTGCCCACTAATGAGCCACCCCTTCTCCTGCAGACATCCGGCTCCGGGTTCGAGCAGAGTACTGCGAGCATGGGCCAGCCTTGGAGCAGGGCGTAGCGTCCCGGAGACCTCAGGCATTGGCCCGACAGCTGGATGTGTTCGGACAAGCCACTGCAGTGCTGCGGTCAAGGGACCTGGGCTCTGTCGTTTGTGACATCAAATTCTCAGAACTCTCTTACCTGGATGCCTTCTGGGGTGATTATCTGAGTGGTGCCCTGCTTCAGGCCCTTCGGGGTGTCTTTCTGACTGAGGCCCTGCGGGAGGCCGTGGGCCGGGAAGCTGTCCGCTTGCTGGTCAGTGTGGACGAGGCTGACTACGAGGCTGGTCGGCGCCGCCTGTTGCTGATGGAGGAGGAAGGGGGACGGCGTGGGACAGAGGCCTCCTGATCCTGGAGCTGGCAGGACTGACCCCACCTCCAAGTCTTGGGGCAACCTTCTTCCCTGGAAGATGACTATGTTGCCCCCAGATGACCATTACTTTAGCAACTCTGAGGACTGCGTCAGGTCTGCAAGTTCCTTGACTGCCTCTCTTATAGGATGTGGGCTTTGAGGCATAAACCACTTCCAGCTGCTTCCTTCCCAGTTTTCCCCCACTCCAAGTGGATTCTCTCAACTTTGGGTGCCAGGTTTGCTGAGCCCTAAAGCAGGGAGGTGTAGCCACAGTCACCAAAGCCTCCTGCACATCGTGTCTCTCAGCTTGGGCTGATGTTGGTTGGCTCCACACACTTTAGCCTAAGGGCTTCTCTCTCAGGATCTCGGATTTTATTGTCCCCATCAGGACTTCAGCCACAGCAGTGGGCTCAGGAGCTGGGGTGCCCATGGGGCTTGCTCACCTTGCCCCTTCACTCATGTAACCAGCCAGGGCTCTGTGTGGTGTACACACAGACATCATCCACCTCTCATCCCTTTCCCCTGCTCCCTGGAGCTAGAGACAGCCTTGCCCTTGGACTCTTTGACCCAGAGTATCACGTGGGTTTTGTGGCCACAGCCGTTCGAGGTCAGTGTTGTATACAGAGCTCAGGCCAGAACTAGCCACTCTCTCATGAAGGGAAGGCAAAGACTTGGGGCTGGTGGAAGATGTTTTGCAAATTGCGCCAATAAAACTGCCCCGGAAAGGGCATAGGTGGGCATCAAGGCTAAGTACTTTTTATTGGTGGGCAAGGTGAAAGATTGTCTTTTATGTGGTGACCTCATGTTAGGGCTGAAGGAGATGCTGGCTCATTTGCCAGGTGCTGCTGTAGGGATCTCTGTTCCTTGGGCCTCACTTTCCTTAACTGTCAAAGAAGGAATTAAAGCCTCAGAGTCATTGACTCCCAGCCCTGTTCATACGTGCTTTGTAGAATTCTGTATGTTCATAGAGAGGAATTCTTAAATTTTATGTGTATGGATGTTCTGCCTGCACGTATGCCCATTGACCAGATGTGTTCCTAGTGTCCAAGCAGGCCAGAGAAGGTGTTGTATATCCCGAGTCACTGTGAGGGTGTGGGGCCCTCTGAAGGAGGAGCTAGTGATCTTAACCACTGAACATTACTCCAGCGCTTTCAGGGTGTGTGCGTGCATATGTGTATGTGTATGTGCGTGCACATACATACAGCCTATGGAAGCCTGAGAGGTCAGATCCCTGGAACTAAAATTCCCGGTAGTTGTGAGCTGCCTGAAGTGGCAGCTGGGAACTGAACTCTGAAAGAGGACCTCAGGATTTTCAGCCTGCTCAGGGAGAGGAGCTGATGGAGCCCTGGAGATGGGACACTGGAGAGGAGAGGCAGCCAGGGGTTTTCCACTCCTCATCTTTCTGAAGCTGAAGCACTACTTGCTGTGGGAGCACTTGGCACCTTTCCTCTGAAGGCAGAGATGCAGGAGATGGAACTTCTGACAGAGAACCCAAGTCTTCCATCCCTAGGGCCTAAGGAGGAGGACTTGACAGTTGGGAGGTGAGTGGGTACAGATTCCAGGGGCTGCCCTTTTCTGGACCAAGAAGTGCACTTACCCATGTCTAGGTTCTTTCCTGGACCTCTGCTGGTTGGTGGACAGGGACTCTGGCGGTTCAGGCTTGTGAATGAGGAGTTCCCCAGAATGGTCCGTGTGGGGTGTGTGTGGGGGGGGGTGGTGTGTGTTGGGGGGCAGAACAGCCCTTTCCAAGGCCTCAGAGAACATTCCTGAATGAGATGTAGAGACTGGAGCTAAGAGACATAAAATGGGAAAAAGCCACCTACACCCTCATTTGGTGTGCATTCCACCTACCTCCACGTTTTTCTGTGTGGGGAGCTGAGAACTGTTACAAACAGACATGGGGCCTTGCAATGACAATATAAGGTGACTAAGGTAGGCCTAGTGTGTGTGGGGCTTGACAGCAACTATTCCACGAAGCCTTTATGTCCCCGGGTTGACTGAAGACCCTGAGAGCCCCTGTTCTGGTAACAAGCCACACTGGGGACTCCATGACTCATAGACCAGAGCTACCAGAGAGCTACTGAGTGAGCACTTGGCATAAACTGGAGAAGCCCCAGGATGGTGAAGGAGAGACACTGCCTGTTTGTTAGCATCTTCAGGTCAAGCATGAAATAGAACATTAAGAAAAGTACATATGATACCACATCGTAAGGTAAAACCTTATAACCCCATGTCAAAAAATAAATAACTATAGTACCATCTCTCCAGGAGGTTCTACCAGTTCCAGCTGCCTCTGCCTTCTACACATCCAGCTGCTACAATGTATTCTTATTTTTTCATATATTTTGTGTTGTGTCTGACTTATTTGCTGATACTCTGAGGTTCTTCTATTTGTGCTTATCTGAAATTGATGGGTCCTGGTTGCTATGTAGTATCCTATTGGGTAGATACACCATTAATTCATGTGCTGGATGGAT